GATCTCCCCCTGGTTGATAACTGGCGCCCGACTCAGCCTCGGTATTTCAGGATGGTGAGCGCATCATTCCTCTAGGACCTGGCTCAGGTTGGGTGTCCCTGAGTGAGGCGACCCCTAGAACTAAGAGGTGGTTTTGTTTTGTGTCCTCTGTTGCATTTAGACAGACCTCCAGCTGTAGGTCCAGAGGCTGAAACTTTGAGTTGTGAAATGTGAATTTCACTTTCAGAGGATAACATTTACTTAGGCAAATCCTACCATTAAAGTGGAAGTAGAGAAACTGTTTGGCTCTTTATAACTGCTTTAACATTAGCTTTTGTTAATAGTACAAAGGAAGAAAGAAGATGCTACTAACAACTACAAAACCATTTCCTATTGCCCACATGTCCCTTGATGCTTGCCTTATTCCATGCTAAAGAGGTTACAGTTAAGAGAAGTAATTGTTTTCAGCATAAAAACATTTTTCAGTAGTTGTTTTCAGCATTATCCATATCCTGCTCTGAGCTGCACCAGCTAATGCACAAGGCATTCTTGGAAATAAATAAGAGCACTCTTTTGGTATTTGATACTCAGATAAAATGTGAAAGGATAGAAGATTGCTTCATAACCATTGATAAAGAACTAAGCTTTTAACTTCTTAAAACAATGGACAAGTGAAACAGAGGTCTGTTCTGAAAATTGTATTCACCGAGTTATACATAGCGAAAACTAAGGAATGGGGGAAGAGCTGTGTCTGTTTGTGTCACAACTGGTTGTCCATATTAAAAGACTAATTTGCATTTTAATGTTGTAGCAATCAAAGTGACATGGGTTTTGAGAACTTGGTCTTCGTATCCTGAATATATATTTTTTCCATGTATGCAAGTGGCTTTTCTGTGTAAAAAGGGTGTTAGATAGAAAGAGTTCTTAATTTTTTTAGTGTTTTTTTGGGACAGATTCTCACTTCATGTGCAAATATAATTGATCCTGCTGTCAATGAGATTTGTGCATAAATATCTGAAACCACAGTTTGACTCTCCTGATCAAAATGCAGTTGAGCAGAGTGTTTTTGTCTCTTGTTTTGGCATAAAGAATGATGAAACAGGATTGTAAGTCTATACTTGAAATACAAGTATTTCTGCATTAAAAAAGCCAATAATAATAAATACATTTACTTAAGAATTTTTGTTCTGTATGTTTTTTTCCAATTTTAGAAACAAGTAAAAATACAGACTTTTAAAGAAAGACTTGCCAATGTCCTCTGTAATACACCTTCATGGAAATTGATGATGGATGGTGTCTTTCTCAGATGTTTGTTTGAACTACAAGAGTACTGATAATATTTCATGTGACTGCAAGCAAGGAAATAGCATCTTAAATATGCTACATCATTGAGATTTCCACACCTGTTCTTTTAGTGAGATCACCCTATTCTGACAATGGCTTTCTTATAATGTAGTATGAATCAATTCCTTCGCAAGTTGATTGCATAGTGGAAAAGTTCAGTCTGTATCTAACACCATTAATCTGAATGGTAATTTACATTGAGCTCTGGAAATACAAAGCAGCTGCTGCTCTGGCAGTCGCTGGACTCTTAGCTGCCCTGTTCTAGGGCCAGAGGATGTTGCTGAGCTTGGTGATGAGGGGTCGTGCTCCCTGTCTCCAGGTTCCCCACTGTGAAGGTTTCTGGACCATGTCCTCACTTTGCTTTCTTCCTTCAAATAGGTGGTGTTTTGGCTGGGAAATTTCATTTAGTCGTTGTTAGTATTTTCCAACTAATTTCCCAAATGGATTGCATTGTGCTGTTCGTGTTTGCACTTCTCATTTGTAGCCACATTGTGATACGATTCAGATGAGTTAACATCTGTTTACGTTGCATGCACGTGTTGCTGGCTTTGACACAGATTGTCTTACATGTACATACTTCCACTTATTTGGATGACTTGCACCAATAAAGCCTATGCAGGTCCCTACATTTGAAAACATGTATTTTTTTAAAATACTTCATTAAATGTAATTTCTTCCCAGCTGGGTTGTTCCAGGGCAGTTCAAAGCATACCTTTGTGTTTGACTGCCAGTACCCAACACAGTGTTAGCTGTAGGGATAAGAACATGCTGCTGGATTGTGCCTTATACTTCAGAGGAAGGTTTAATCCGTAAAGTTTTCTTTTTCTCATAAACTTCTACATAAATATCCAAAACAACATGAGGAAGTATTCTGTATCTGGTAACTGATGTTATTCTGAACAGGAATGCAAGTCCCAGAACATCATTGACCATGCAGGACAGGGTTCCGATAGAATACCCAGTGCTTCCTGCCTTCAGGTGAAAATGGCAATTTCCTGATGCGTGAAAATACAAGAAAACAATGCTAAACCTTTCTACTTTCTACTTGTTTTTTTCCAGTAAATTCTGCTGTATATATCTGTTTGCTTATATATTGCTTCATTAGAAAAAGGAATTTTGAAGCAATTCTAAAATGCATAATTTGCTGTGAATTACAATATAAGTTATTTTATAATGTGCTTTATTAAACTAAGTTGCATATCTTCGAGCTTAGAGCAGGCTTTATGTTTCTTGCAATTTATGATACTGCAAATCTGCAACATGTAATCTCAGGGGTTTTTTAATGATCTGGTGGTTTCCCAGTCACACTTTGCAAAGGAGCTGTCTGGGTTCTCTAAATGAAGCTGAGGTAAGCCTCATCCTTTAGAGCCATGTTTATTAACTTTTAAATGTAAAGTCGAAGTAATCTCTCTAAAGAAAGTGTCATTTGACTTTTTCATGCAGTTGGTTTCATAATATCTCTATTTATAGTTAGTAAAAGGTAGACTAAATTAGGCTCAGGACTGTGTTGACGCAGTTGCAGATAGGAGGAAGTGTGTGAATATGGGTTTTGGCGGTTGTTTTACAGACCCCCTTCCAATGTTTAAGGGACTGTCTGAAGTAATGATGACAGATCGAGAAAACAATGCTTCAGCGGGCATCGGAAAAAAATGGAAAGTGTGGGAGTAGAAGGAAAACAAAAAGCCAAGGAATGGGGGGCACGTCACGGGCACTCTAGACTGAGCTATAAGCTGAAGATATGAGGAGATTAGGGAGGGTTTTGAAGGCAGCAAGGGAGGAAACGTGGGGTGCTGTGAGTCAGCATTTAGAATGTGTTCGTGTGATGCAATTTTCTTTTCTCTCTGGCTGTGTTCGTTGTTATTTTACAGAGGTTCCCCCTTGCTTTTAGCTTGCAGCTTTCTGTAAGTACAAGAAAAATTAATCACTGGTATGACTGAATTCAGGTCACCGCAGGTCACTGTAGTAATAACATCCCACACATCTCACTTCTACCTGCACATTTCCACCATGCGGTGTAGTTCTGTGCACAGCGAGAGCAGGGAGCCTGGGTTCAGAAGTATCTGGTAAAAAGGGAAGACATTTTCATCTGGGTGGGGTGGAAAACAATGAGTTACTACTATATTTGACTTTACATACCATCTATGCCTGACTGTACTTGGTGATATCAGTGCTAATTAGGAGCAGTCCCTTTGAAGCAGAAATGCAGACATGAGACGTGCAGCCACATTGCACGGCTCATTGACAGCCTCTTCTCCAAGTTACTTTTCATTTGCTGCAGATGTCAAAAATAATTCGCCTCGGCCTAGCTCTGTGGTGCCCTGAGTCTTCCTGAAACTCGAAACATTTTAAAGGGATGGCTGTAGCTGCGTCCACATCACTGGCAGTCTTGAACATGAGTAAGAAGGTGCATGTGGAATGAAATCGCAGCTGACATAGCGCCAGAGACATGATTATGCTCATCAACAATGAAGATGAATTACCACTAATTTTAGGTACGATCTGCCTGTCTAAACTTGGTCACTGTAGTAATAACATCCCACACATCTCACTTCTACCTGCACATTTCCACCACGCGGTGTAGTTCTGTGCACAGCGAGAGCAGGGAGAAGTTGGTCAGACTAAAAGATACCCATGGTAAACATGTGGGAAGTCCATTTTCTCATGTTGCTCGTTGGGAATCTCTTCTCTAGCCCCAGCACCATGGTGATCAGAGAAGTTATCCTTAGGTTACCTGTATGCAGCTGAGCAGGAAACGATCAACTAGCCATCTCACTTTACAAAGGTCCCTGAGGCAGGCAAGAGGGGGGAGATGGAGATACAAATCTAAAATTCTGTATAGAAATAGACATGGATTTTAGTGGGGATGAAGAGTCAAAATTAGTCAGGTGATGGATATTTTTGAAGAATTTAGACTCATCAGATCTGCTTTAGATCAGGACTACGTTTGATTAAATGTGATTTATTCTATATCCAAATTTATGCCTTGGAAATTTCATTAGAGTCGTCTATACAAAAATGGACAGATCTTTAGACCCCTTCTTTTATATTAAATGAGGCAGTATTTTGCAAACTGTGTATGGCTGCTAAGACCATGAGAAGAATTCTGAATTATTTTGCCCAAGTTTCAGATTTAATTGAAAAAAGAAAAAAAGTTCAAATTTCTCCTCACGGTGAAGGAATCTTGAAAATCTAAACAAATACGACTATACAGTAAGTACAGTCTGAAGCAATGCTGCAAAATATGACTTGCTAATGTAACTCCCAAAATTCTGGGTTTTGTGTTGTTTTGCTGAAAGAAAAAGGGAAGGGTTTCTATGACATCATTTCATCAAAAACATAGTCTTTATGGCTAGAATGAGGCTGCCATGCATTTTTCTGCTCCTTATAATAAAGCATCCTGTGGGGATCTTGGGATCACAAGAAATGATCGGCACAGACATTCCGTCCTGTCCACCGGCCGTGTGGCAGCAGTGACGGCTCACCAGGGCTGAACTCTCCGGTCTGTCAGCTGGGGAAAGCCATCCTCCCAGGAGGACACGCAGCTAATCCCTAGCCACGGTCACTGGAGGACGCATCACGCCTCTAACCGGAACATGCTGAAGTCTGGCTTGTTTTGGATAATGTTTCACTCCCTTGCCTCAAAGCCTTTTTCCTACTGAATAGACCTATGCCTCTGTTTTTATAGCTTACTGTCTGTCTATATATATGTATATTTGTATGTATATCAATATATACACAAAACATATGTGCTA